ATAACTCATTTTCCAGACGTCAGAAAAGAAACATATTTGGTGACATCTTGCATATACTTACTGATGTATCCACAGATAAACAACTACAACTTTTGGCCCGACAAATTGAACAGCTGAAAAATTAAGGACTCTCAGTGATGATATGGACAAACAAACCCAAAGACCGAGTTCCGTTGAGGTGCTACTTGACAAAAGAATTTCCAATTTGTGGCGGCATCTTACCAATTCTAACAAAAATGTACAAGAACTTATAAAACAGGCACACACCCTTGTAGCACATTTGGACAATTAAACCACAGTCTAAATGCCACTCACATTGAAGTCCAACATCTTGTACAACTAACAGCTCTTCAGTTTGAAGTCTCAGATCGCACTGCCTTTCTCTCTGAATTTTTTTTTTTTTTGAATATCAAAATCACCTTAATGGAATGTTGTAGTCACAGGTAGAGAAATGTTGATTTCACGGTTGGTAAAAATTGTAGTCGGTGAACGAGAAACAATTGCTTGACAAGCAGTTTGACCCAGAGTTATAGATTCGGGCGTAGCTCGACTAAGAATATCGGAAATGTGTCGATGATCTTCCATGGAGACAGTTCGTAGTCCAATTGACACGTGTTTGTGACCGGTTATCTTTCTGATTTGTTGTGGTGGAATACCGGCTTTCGTCAGGGTTTGTACAGTCGTCTTCCGAACAGAGTGATTTGTTTTTCTTCCGGTAAAGGGTTACGGCCCGATGTTCAGAAGTTTTCTTGTCAAAAATTGTGACTCCCTTGCATGCATAGACTGTAATTATGATTCCGTTAGGTTGCTAAATGGAGTGAACATGGTTACCAGGGTAAAATATTGATGCATATGATTCCACATATTATCTTACTGTGAAAGATTAAATGTAAGAGTTGTTGCTAAGGGGTGCGCTTAAGGTTGTTAGAATGAAATTAGGTATGACCACGATTAACGCAGTCACCAATTATTGTGTTCACATATTTGCAGTACAAGTTAAAAAATCTAAATGTGCTGCATAAAGCACGTACAGGTCTCATTGCTCAAAAATATAACTATATGACTCCCTGACTGAAGTTATATACATGTATATTATATCTATTTGATCCGAGTGCGTGTGAACAATCCGGAGGTAGGACTATGGCAGATTCTCGACAGTATCGGACGAGCGTGAAGTTGGCGAAGGATTCACAAGTGAGATTGTCATCAGATTATCGTCAGATTCACGTCAGATACAAATCAGATTCAATTGATTTAAAATAATACAGAAAAACACAAAGTTGGTTTACACATAACAGAAAAACACAAAATTATAGATTTTGTAAATTAAACTCAATTTACAGCAAACAACACTTATTAAAAGGCAAAATTAAAAAAAGTCATACAATTTGCAGATCGTTGAGAAAAATTATATATATGTTAACAAGTTTTCTACTATGACATTTTTTTATTTTCACGTTATCGCAGTTATTGATAATCCAGAGAGGTTATATTTGAGTTTTGACTTAACAAATATGCTTCAATACATAATGTAGTATAGTGTCATGGTGTTGAAAATAAATCGAAAATGACTTC